AATCCTGCACCTCCTTCAAACCCAGGATGGCCTAGTTCAGCTCCTGGAGCCCCCACCCAGCCCTCTGCTCCACTCGACTACCACGGTGGATCATCTGGCCCAGGGGCACCAGGGCAGTTTCCCTTCCCTTCAGGTCCTGGAGCACCAGGGCAATACCCTGGACCTCCTTCAGCACCTGGTGGGTTCCCCCCTGGTCCTGGGATACCTGGACAATATCCACCTGCACCAGGAGCTCCAGGTCAGTTTCCCTCCGGCCCTGGAGCTCCTGGGCAGTACCCTGGGCAGTATCCACCAGAAGGAGCTCCAGGACAGATACCTGGAGGCGCTGCTCCTTACCCAATGGGACCATTTCCTTCGGGCCCCGGAGCTCCCCCTGGCCCTTATCCAAGTGTGCCTTTCCCAGGTGGCCAGCCAGGAGGCAATGGTATGTATGGGCCAGGTGGTCCAGGTGCATTCCCACCTGCAGCTGGACCTGGTGCTTTCCCTGCATTCCCCAGCGGAGGCTTTCCCCCGATACCACCTGGTTCTTGGGGACCACCAGCAGGTGGAGGCTTCCCAGCTGCCCCTGGTCCCTTTGGCCCTGGTCCGGGGCCTATGGGTCCATATGGTGGGCCTGCTGCCCCAGGAGGGACACTGGTGAGTACTGGTACTTTAATGCAATATTGCTTGCTGCATTTTCCTGCTTGTGTGCTTCTCTGGTGTGCAGTGGAGCATCTGGTGTGAAATTCTTTTAGAGTAACATAATCCTGTAAGTGGTGGATAAAGGAAGTTAGTCTTATTTCTTTGCTGCTGAAGGAGGGTTAATGTATTTATTTATGTTTTTCAATAACGGCGGAATTGGGATGATTATTTCTGTCTCTTTGGCTCTGCTGGGGTGCTAAACAAATATAAAACAGAATAATACAGTATTCAGAAGCAGTTCTGAAAAATGTATTCTTGTCTTTCAGCCCAGATATAGGCCACCGTATTAAGCAATGAGCAATGAACTCAGCTTTTCAGTTGGACAAGGACATCACTTCCAGAATCAGCATATGGTTTGATTAGTGCCAAAGACTCAATATATACATAATATTCAACTAAATTGCTCAATGTATTGTCTTAATTAAGTGCAATATGATATAATTTACACTTTTACTTGACCCATGTTTACGGCATCATGACGCCTTTTATGATCTCTAATAAAATTATGAATTGATCAAAACACACTTGTAAGTTGTTTCCATGATAATAATAAATGGGGTTTTTTGTTTTCTTTTACTTTGCTCAGCTGTTGTAAAAATATAGTGAATGTACTTTTCTGTCATTGCCATGACCCGTCACTGCTACTTGTGTAATAGTGCTGGAATAACCGAAGGATATAATGACTCACTTGGGTGTTGCTGTAGGAATGTGGGCAGGGTCAAAGTTTTGAACAGTGCTTAAATAAAATTCTCTATTATACGTCATTCGGCATGCTGCTGTGTTTTGCCAATTTAAGACTCAGTGATCAAATGTTTTATATGTGCATATTTTTCTTGGAAATCATAGAATTGCATTGTGACACATAAACTTAATATCTACACTGAGAACAGTACATATATTGTCACGGTTTAAAATGGAAGTATTTCTTGCAGATGGTGCCCTACGATCTCCCTCTTCATGCTGGAATAATGCCGCGACTTTTAATCACAATAATAGGGGAGCCTCTTCCCTGTGCAGACAGGTACAGTAATCATCCAACATCTGTGCCTGCTAATAGCAATCCGAAACCTGATTCCTTCAACTCATACTTACATAATAAAGGGGACCTAGTATACTTATTTTCAGCTCCAAATGTTTATTCTTGGACGCTTCTAGAGTAGAATAGTTCAAAACAATCCTTATTTGTCATGTACTGAGCCTTGGTATAGGATAAATCTATTTTAACACCTTAAGCTTCTGATTGGCTACCCCTGTTTGAACAGCAGGTACCTTTATATGACCATGTTATATGAAGTGAAGTGTAATAGGTCTCCTTTAAAACACATCTATGATTTGCACTGTGGGAATACTCTTTAAAATGTTTACCACCATATTATGTTAAACTGATTAGCAGCAGCATTTCTTTCTGCTAATGCTTTGCTTATATGTTTTGGGGGTTTTTTGCAGGTTCAATGTTGACTTTATCAAAGGTCCAGACGTAGTCTTTCACTTCAACCCTCGTTTTAACGAGCAAACAATTGTTAGAAACTCCAACTTAGGCGGATACTGGGGACCTGAAGAGCGGGAAGGAGGGTTTCCATTTGTTCAGGGACGACGTTTTGAGGTAAGTTAGTATAAAATCTTTTTCTTTTCTTTCTCTTTAAAATTAGCTGATTAGATTAGGGAGATGACATTTAACAGAGCCCTTGAATTTAACCAAGGATTTTGTTCAGCTTACACCAGTATAATTTTTCCTTCATGTCAGAGTGATATGGGCATAAATGAGCATGTTTATGCACATTTTTATGTGGTAGAGCTCTGACTTCAGTGCAAAAGGTGAGGCTTTAGGTGAGGAAGAAGTGGTGGTGTAGAACTAATGGAGGACAGAGACATAAGGAGAAGGAGTTGATGAAAATATGATGATGAAAAGATACAAGTACAAATGTTAAATGGGGAGATAAAGCAAACTATACACGTTGCTGGACTCTAGCCACATACTAGCTACGTTCTGTCAGTCTACCAACCAATCAATTAGCAACTGGTGTCCCCTACAGCTGAAGATCCTTGTGGAAGAAGACATGTTCAAAGTGGCGGTGGACGGCACACACCTGTTGGAGTACGAGCACAGAGTCGGTGGCCTGGAGGAAGTGAACCTCGTGCGAGTGTGCGGAGACCTCGTCCTCTACAGCGCTGCCCCGAGCATGATCTGAACCCACGGCTGAAGCACACGCTGTACAGGCGACCTGAGTCAAACTTTACCACTGTATTTGAAATCCTTTTTAAATACTTGGTCGCATTGCAAAGCGCAATCGTTGCCTACCTGACACATTTGTCACAGAACAGCTGTACGCCATAATCCTTTTCTCTTTTTTTTTAAATAGTTGCTCCAATCCAATTAATTTGGTCACATATGAGAATTTTTAGTGGTAAAAGAATTTAAAAGCATTTAAAATAGGTATTTTTGGGAGAAAAATTAATTTATACTTAATGAAAAGATTGTAGGCTAAGAAGAAAGGCATGACAAGTCCCAAACATTTCAAATATTTTCCACTGGTATCTTGTTTTTCCGTTTACATGTAATCATTCTAAGTCTCTGTAATTGCATGAGAGTGTGATGCTGAAAATCATTTCTTTTTTATCTGCTGGCCTGCAGACGTGCTGTACAGTGGAACAATGATGAGGTTTCTTAAAATGCACAGAGTAATATAAAGAGAATGTGTACTCAGGCTGGAGGGTCAAGAAAAGATTTAAAGAATTATGATTTCATGTTGAAGTCAAAACCCTGATGGTAAAAAGACATATTAAAGGCTGGTATTAAAGAAAAATGTGGAGGGATGGGGTCTCTGTTTGTTGCCAGCACTGACACTGTTGAGGTTATAAATTGAAAGGAGCAACAAACAAGAAAAATGACTGATGGAAGAAGATTGTTTACTTCCCCTGAGCTTCTGACGTGCACTTATAATAAATACAGGTTACCCCATGTAGTGTTTCTGAATCTAAAGCCAGGGAATCAGTTCCTGTGTTACTGATGGTGTAAGTTTGTGTGTTTGACTGAATTTATATATCGTGCCCCCTGTGGTGCAAGTGCCAGATTCTGATGTTAATAGATTTGACTACAGTTATGCCACTCAGTACAAAATAAAAACATTTCAACCTTGGACACTTTGCTTACTTATGCAACTCACGAGGGACTCTTGTATGTGTTGCATGTATTTCTTGTGTCTTCATGGCTGCCTTTGGGCCACACATTGCAGATCATGTTTTGGTTGCTACTGTATCTATAACAGGATTTAGACCAGAAACATCCACCATTCAAGATGATTTTTTACCTAATTTCTGAGATGAAAAACTCAAAATCAGATTTGATATTTTTCACAGCAGTAACCGCCATTTGTGTTGAACCTGATTGAACCTTAATGACAGGGTGCCTCATGCCGTGGGCAGAAAGACCATCCAGGTTAACAGTTTTCTGGTATTTTCAGTGCTGCTACATAACCCGAGTGAGCTTAAGTTTCAGGGCACAAACTGATAGCCAGACGTTCTCCTTCAGGATTTCCTGGTAGAGAGCAGAACTGTTACTTTAGGGGTCACCACAGAGATCATCTTAACCCTCTACATATCTTCCTTTACTACATTCATGAACCTTCTCTATTTGGGTTTTCTGCCATATTCCATGTCCTTTGTCCAATGTGTCCACGATCCCTTCTCTTCTCCACCCACTTCTCCCTGCCTGCACTTTGTTCTTAAGCTCTGTGCACCGTCCATTGCTTTGGATGGTTGGCTGCAGGTATTTAACTCATCCACCTTCACTACCTCTATCCCTTGCAGCTTCACTGTTACACCTGTCTCCTTCCCGTTCACACACATGTATTCTGCCTTGCTTCTACTCACTTTAATTTCTTATCACACCAGAGCATACATCCACCTCTCCAGACTCTCTTCCACTGGCCTCCTACTCTCAGTAGGGCTCACAATCTCATCGTTCACAGAGCCTGCTACTGGACTTCATTTGTCAACCTGTCCATCAACACTGCTTTGCACATCACTTTTATTCGTGGAAATCTGTACCAGTACATTTTCCACTGCCTAGCTATCTATACAGGTATGTCACCAACACCCTTTCCACTCTTTACATCTGTTCTCACTTCCTCCTTACTAATTCTCTTCACTCCCTGATTCACTAACTGACCTCCATCTGCCCTCCTTTCTCTTTTATGTCTTTTATTCATCAACTCCTCAAAGCACTTCTTGCACCTCCTCAGCCCATTCCCTTCACTCATTAACTCTGATATTGAGTATTTTTTAATAACTTGTCTCTGATTTGCCTCTCTGCCCTGTAATTCGAAAATCAGCCTGGAGTTCCGTCTCTTGCCGTCAGGGGGCACTGTTACAGCTCTGTCTGCGCCGGTGGTGGCCAAAAAGCAAATCGAAACTCCTCAATGAGTTCACCTTCAGATACATAGTTTGTCCCTCTTCTCTGAAGATTTATTTTACCAGGTTGACGTTTGGACACAATGAACGGCTCTCTGGACACTTCTTCCAAAGTGGAAACCATAAGGCTGAAGCGAGGACCAGCTGGTAAGGAGATAATTAGTGGGACTGTTACCAGTGGATAGCACCGCTAGCTAGCTGCGAAAGCTAGCAAAAATCATCGCTGTCAGGCTGTGCTCAGTGTCCTGAAGCTAAAGGCTAATTTGCAAATAAAAGCGACCAAACCTCCGCGTCGTTGTGGCGTAAGTGGAGGAAGTAGATTATCGAGGCCAACTGAGTATTAGCAGCTGCCTTATTTGCAAAGGAAAAGCTGATTTATGCACTTTGACCCAGTGTTAAAATCTTTAAAAGTTATCGGCCCTATCACGCTGATGGACAGCTCGTTCATAGACACCAGTGGTTTATTTATTTTACAGACTCGCTTACACTCGGTTATGTAACATTTTGTCAGGTTGGTCTTGCTTTTAATCTGCTCGTCTAAGTAGCAGTGCAGCTTTGGAAGATTTCCTCTTGAACTTTGATCTACTTGGATAAATATTATTGATTGGGTCAGCAGCTGCTGGTCTGGTGAACCTGATTATATACTGATTACACTAATGTGTTTTCTTTTGAGGCTTGGGTTTCAATATAGTTGGGGGCGTGGACCAGCAGTATGTGTACAATGACAGTGGCGTATACGTGTCTAAAATCAAAGAAGATGGAGCTGCAGGCCAGGACGGAAGACTACAGGAGGGCGACAAGATCCTCTCGGTAATAAAAGCGTCATGTTTTTGCTTTGGACTGAAAAAGACACATTTGAAGAGATGTCATGCATTCACCATGGCCTTTTCTCTTAACAGCTCACTAATAGAAAATGAAACCAAATATATGCTGCAGAACGGGCTGGAAGTGAGCTTTTATTTATTTATTAACTTTAATATTTCTAGATAAACGGAGCTGTGCTAGAAGGCCGGACACACAAAGCCGTGGTGGAGCTGTTTCGGACAGCTGGGGAGGAAGTGGAGCTCCTTATACAGAAAAAGGTCAGGAGCTACACTCTCAGATCAGAGAGACTGACTGCTTGTTATGTGGTCTCAGTAGCTCTAGAGCATTATTGTTTCAAGCTTTATGTTATTAAGACAATTTTAAAATTAATTCTGAATTTCACTGGTAACAAGAGTAGTGGTGATGTGCGAGTGTCAGCAGGTTTTTATAAACAGTCTCACTGCTGCAAGCTAAGGAGGACGGAGAGGTGCATCATGCAAAACAAGTCTGTAAAAGTTTATAGCTCTGCTGGAGGAATTTAAATTGCTGATTGCCCTTTAGCATCTTTTAATGTTTCTTGAATTCAAAGTGAGAAATAAGCAAAAAATAAGTCTGGCAATGCCAATACAAACAAAAAACACCAAAACATAAAGAAGAACTGCTACCAGTTAGTGCAGTACAGTGCGCCTCCAAGCGTATCAGATCCTTTCTGTTAAAACTGTTTCCTGACGGTTATGCAAATCAGTGATGTCATGAACATACCTGTAGAGATAAACATCTTTAAACTGCGCGTGAGTTTTACTTTCCGTCGGTTGTTGAGCTTAAAATAAGTGTGCACGCATGTATAAACAACCACAGAAGATAAGTTTTCTTTGTCCACCACAAACATTTGTGTCAGTATCCCCTCAGTGCAACTTTAATCTTTGCTCCTTTTTATGTCTTGCAGGAATCCCACCACATGAACGGCTCCACGGGCTCTGAGTCCGAACACCAGTCTCCTGCGTCTATTCTGGGATTACTGGCAGTGTTAACGGGAGCTGCCGCAATCCTCTTTTACATTTACAGGCGGCGCGCTTAGAAAGCGCAATGTCTTTACATAATTTTTAGGATCAAAAACCATTACTAAATGCCAACTACATGAGAGAGGGAACAAAATGTGAAAAGTAGATCTTGTTTTTGCGATTAGCAGGTGCTGGTGTCACTGATGAGGTCCCCCCCCCACACACATACGTGCATATTTTGTGATTAATGATAGCTTTTTGATACCCCTCCTATGCAAAAAGTCTTACCACAGAGATGAGATAACTTTTATTAGGTAGCTTTACGATGGTAAGTAAAAGAAGGGTGTATACATTCCTGCTGCTGGACTGAGTTTCTCAGGCAGAAAAAAATGGCTGCTTGTATATGCAAAACTATTTAATCTTTGGATAGAGTCTGACTGCTTGAACCTGATCATTATAAACTGAAAGAGGGTTTAGGTTCAGTCACTTGTAGGCATCTAAGCCTCCATCATTGAATGGGGGATCTCTCTGAACTCTACCTTCATGCTTCACACACATAGGTTTGATTTTCATTTTGAAGTGTTGCACAGAATTGTGGGAGGAGCAGCACCCTAATGTGGTGTTTATCAGGAGCTGTGGCAACTGATGAAAGCAGTTGCTGTGATAAAAGCTCATAATGGACTTTTTTTTTTGAGTGCCTTTTTCCTGTTTGCAAAGAAACGGAGGAGATTGCGTTGCTTCATTTTGCTCTCAAAATGAAAATCAGACCCATCCGCCCTCACTGTAGCCTGTTAAAAGACCAGAACCTATAATGAGCCAGTCGTCTCTCTTAAATGTTTAAAAATAGACATCAGATATATTATTACATTAAAAAAAAATATTTTATTTAAAGACTTCTGGTGACTGAAACTTATTGAAAACCTTACTCAAGCAGGAGGAAATGGTGTATTTATTGGGGACTGTTTTCAGCTGCAGATGAATACACATTCAGTGTTCTAATGAGCATTCCAAGTACAGGAAGTTGTGTGTGGGATTAACATTACTTGGTGCAACAGAGCAGCTGGATGACAGCGTAGAGCCCTGTGGCTCAGACAGCTAACCTATGAGAAGATGGGTTAGTGAAATCACCTAATATTTGGTTATTAGTCTGTGACACTTGTCCACAGTTTGGTAATATGAACTCAGTAGTATGAATTTGGTACCTTAGAAAAAAACTCTTGGTCAGGCCACTCAGGGTGAACCGCTGATCTGAAATCAGGCTCATTTCTTCAGGCTGAAACACTCGTCTTATTGCGATTTGAGGCCAGTGTGTATAAAGACACTAAACCTCCTGCTGAGCTTGAACATAGATGAACATACGAAAGAAATTGTTTGTATTTGTCTGACGGACCAAACAGCAGCTCGACACTGAAACGCAGCTAAGAAACGATTTGCTGTCAGCCTCTGTAGATGTTTTTACGTTTCTTTTTGCACTAGCCACAATCATGCAACTCCTCCATTAAGGACCATAGTGCAAGTAAAGAAGAAGTGAATCGTGTCCACTGTGGTGGTGTGTGGTCTGTAAATACATTTCATGTTGCTCTGCTGAGTGAGACGGTAGGATGTAAAGTATCTCAGAGAAAGAGATGTAAAAAGTGTAATAAAATATGCAAGTACTGTGTGTTTGTCATCCAGCAGGCAACTATTAAAATTCACGAAGAATTAACTGGTGTGTGTGTGTGTGAGTGTGTGTGTGTGTGTGTGTGTGTGTCATTTTTAGTTTGGGTTTGTTGGGGGGGGTGTCGATCTTTAAGGCAAGAAATGTTTTACTTAAGTGAATAAAAACAAGACGCTAGTGGAAGATTGCACAAAATAAAAAGTACTCAATAAGGAATGACAGAGAGAACTGCAAGTTCAGGATGTTTAGAATTGTGAGCCATTTAATTATAAACTACAATGTTGTGTTTAGTTTTGAGGGTCAAAACTGAGGTGACTAATTCAAGGGGGAGGTTGAGTTTATATATATAATATATAATATA